GGGCTCACTTGTAGCCCAGGCTAGCCTTGTATTGATCATTCAGAACAGGCTGCAATGGACAACTATCCCACTACCTCTAACTACTGAGTGCTGAAATTACAGGCATATAACACAATACCCGGTCAGAATGAGGTCTTTGGGTAGTAATTTTGTTTTGTACTGAAAATTAGGTAATTTTTAAAAAGAAAAAGCACACATTAAAACATATCATTTAAAAAGTAAAAGCCTAAAGTAGGTATGGTGGCCCAGAACTTTAATCCCGGAATTTGGAAGACAGAGACAGAGAGATCTCTAAGTTAGAGACCAGCCTTCTTTATATTGTGAGTTCTAGGCCAACCAGACAGCCAGAGCTACACAGAAAAACCCTGTCTTGACCACCCCCTGCAAAAATAAAAGAAAAAAGAAATCTCCTTCAGGTGACTATTATAAATAGTTTAGTGAGTAATTTTTTATAATTTAGCATATATTTGTATACCAAAAAAGAAGAAAGGAGTGCTGGGCATGGAGCTTAGTTGGCAGGCTGTTGTCTAACATGCAAGAAGCTTGGGTTTGAGTCCCAGCACTGCATAAAAAAACAAAAACAGCCGGGTGATGGTGGCGCACGCCTTTAATCCCAGCACTCGGGAGGCAGAGGCAGGAGGATCTCTGTGAGTTCGAGACCAGCCTGGTCTACAGAGTGAGTTCCAGGACAGGCTCCAAAGCCATAGTGAAACCCTGTCTCGAAAAACCAAAAAAAAAAAAAAAAAAAAAAAAAAAACCCCAAAAACAAACTGGATTCGGGTTGCTTGTAATTCTAGTGCCGGCAAAGTAGGAGCAGGACTGGAAAGTCAAGGTCATCTACCCTGTGATTTTGAGACTAGCCTGGTATAAATGAAAACCGAAAACCTGTCTTTAAAAAAAATAAAAGATGAAAAGGTAATATTCTTTTGTCAGTGTGTTTCTAAATAAACTCGTAAGAGAAGCATTTTAGTTAAAGACTATACACATATATGATAATTTTGCTACTGTAAAAAGCCTGAGCAATAGGAGTCCATTCATATGAAGAGTCAACACTTAAGGCGGAATTTTCAATTAGTCAAGTATTCAAAGTGCCCTTCCTTAGTCAAACATCCTGGAAGACACACCTTAAAACAACCATGAATGTTACCTATCTTAAAGAGTTGGCAGTTGAGGGTGGCAAATGTTAATGAGGAAGAAAAGGGAAAAAAAGCCAAAAACTAAAGCATCATTAAAAACCAGGCACCCAGCTAAGGATGGTGGTTCTGCTCATCTTCAACCCCAGCGCGGGAGACCGGGGGCAGAAGGATCAAGGTCACCACGGCTACAGAGATCAAGATCAGAAACAACCCCCCACAACAGAGGCTGAGCCGAAGGTGATTTCCAAGACAATGAGTCCATTTAAAAAACCCAGATCCGGGGGCTGGAGAGATAGAGGCTCAGTAGTTGAAAGAACCTGAGGTTGAGTCCCAGCACCCACAGTTGTAACTCCAGGCTCCAGGGATCCAACACCCTCTTCTGGCCTCCACAGGCACTGCACACACTTGGTACAAAAACATAATATGCAAGCAAAACACCCATATACATAAATTAAAAGTTAAAAAAATATTTTTAACCCTCACTCCAAATTTTATAAAATGCTTATAATAAAGTTGAATGTGCTGGGAAGGTAACATAATTCAATCCTCTCTACTTTAAAGCAGGATTCTTTTCTTTTCTTTTTTTTAATTCTGATAGAGGGTTTGGCTATGTAACTCCTGTTTGGCCCGAACTCACTATGTAAAACAGGCTGGCCTTTAACATGCAGACAGCTGGTACTACAGGCCTTGATGCCGAACTCTGCTATGAGTTCCCCAATGAGGATGCTCAGAACAAAACTCAAGTCACCTGGAAAAGCAGTATGGCTCTAAACTGCTGAGCCATCCCTCCATCCCTGATTATTGGTTTTGATTGTCAATTTGACATAATCTAGAATCACCTGTGAAGTCCCACCTTGAGTGGCACTATTAGGAAGGAAATTCTGAAGTCTTTTTTTTTTTTTTTTTTGAGACAGGGTTTCTCTGTAGCTTTGGAGCTTGTGCTGAAACTTGATTTGTAGACCAGGCTGGCCTTGAATTCACAGAGATCTGCCCGTCTCTGCTTTCCGAGTACTGGGATTAAAGGTGTGTGTCACTGTGGCCTAGTGAGAATTGGTTGTTTTTACAGAGAAACTGGGTTTGACCCCCAGTACCCATATGGCAGCTAATCATCTGTAACTCCAGTTCCAGGGGATCCGGTGCCTTCTTCTGGCCTCTGCAGGTACTGCAGACATACGGTGATACACATATATGCAGACAAATACTCATACACAAAAAATAAATCTTTAAATACTTATGTGTTTGTGTGATATTTGTGTTCAAGCTCCTTAGAGCAAATTATGTAAACTCCACTTATAAATTGCCACATAATCATTTTGCTTTGACTCTCATAAAGAGAGAATGTTTCCTTCTTTGCAGGATCAAGGAAGGAAAGGTACAAAGCATTAAGAAACACTGAAGCTAATCAAGCTATGATGGAGACAAAAGGCTCACAGTAAATTTATAGGCTCAGTGGGTATAGTCAAAGGCCCAATATTAAGTGGTAGGTGGCTTTATCTTAATTGGGAATCATATATTTTAAAACAGTATGTATTTTAGAACTGGGAGGAGTCAGCGGTGGTGGCACACACCTTTAATCCCAGCAATCTGGGGTAGAGGCAGGTGGATCTCTGTGAGTTCAAGGCCAGCCTGGTCTATAAGAGCTAGTTACAGGACAGGCTCCAAAGCTACAGAGAAACTGTCTGTCTTGAAATACAAAAAAAAGCAAACAAAACAAAACAAAAAAAACAGGACTGGGAGGAGGACCCAGGAGAGGCTCTAAGGAAGCAGCTTAAGCTTTATTCTCCTACTGTTAAAATAGGACTTTGCTCTCTGGCTCATTTCCTTGGATTTTAAAGCTGGATATAATAATGAACAAGACAAAGTTCTTCTTCTTTAATGGCCCATGTAAAGTGCACACACCAGGGCAAATGAGCCCTTCTAATATACTTGCACTATTCACAATGAGTAAGACTCAGGGTTCATTCTAAACAACCAGGAAACCAAAAGGAAAAAGCAGGTAGTGACCTAAAAATTAGACTTTTAATTTTTAAAAAATTTTCATTACAAAAAACTTCTTGAGACAGGTCTCATGTAACATGTGCCGACCTCAAGACTCCCTCTGGAGATGAGGACAATCCTAAATTTCTGATCCTCCTTACTCCACTTCTCGTGTGCTCTGGGATTGCAGTACTTAGGGTCTACACCAAGGGCTTCCTGCATACTAAGCAAGCACTTTATCAACTGACCTGCATTCCTAGCCCAAGTTTTGGTTAACTGAGATAGGGTCTTGCTATGTAGCCCTGCCTTAGCTTCCCAAGTGCTGAAATGATAGGTGTGAGCAAGCACACTTGACTCTGAAGTGAAACTGTCACCAGAAGGGGCAGTGAGATGGTTCAGTAGGTAAAGGTGCTTACCATGAAGTCTGACAACTTAGATTTCATCCCTGGGACCCACATAGTGGAAGGAGATAACCACACACACTCTAAATAAATGTAAACAAAAATATCATCAGAGGGTAAGAGAACCAACTTTCATAAATTGTTCTCTAACCTCCACATGTACACTGAGGAATGCTCACACACTCATGTGTACACACAAACAATATATATAAAACTCACACAAACTAATTGAAAAATTAAAAAAAATTATCACCAAGTTAAAATTAATAGGTTCACTTCTCTTATAGGTATTTTTTTTTTTTTGAGACAGAATTTCTCTGTAGCCTTGGATGTCTTAGAACTGGATCTTTAGACCAGGCTGGCCTCGAACTCACAGAGGCCCTCCGGCTCTTAAGAGCTGGGGTTAAAGGTGTGTACCACTACAGGTGGATCCCCTTTCATATTTGAGACAAGGTTTCAAACTATCAAGTACCTCAAGTTATCCTTGAACTCAGTATGTGGGTGAGATAACTTTGAACTCCTAATTCTCCTGCCTCCACCTACCCAGTGCTGAAATTATAGAGGTATACCATCAATCCTGGGCTAAAAAATATTATTTCTACTTTAAGAAACTCAGTCATCATTTATAAAACAGATAGTCACAAATATTCCCTGTTTTTAATTTGCTTTTTTAATTTTGAGATAGTGTCTTGCATATAGCCCTAATTAGCCTATAACTAATTAGGTAGATCAGGCTGGCCTTGAATTTATGGAATGCTCTTGCCCTTAACTCCTTAATACTGGGCTTACAAGTGTGTGCTACCATAACCTGCTGTTGTTTTTGTCTTTTAAGATTCGTAGACAGGCGGTAGGGCCTTTAACTCCCAGCACTCAGGAGGTAGAGGCTGAGGCAGGCAGATCTCTGAGTTCAAGGCCAGCCTGATCTATAGAGCAAGTTCCAGGACAGCCACGTATATACAGAAAAACCCTATTTAGAAACAATAACAAAAGACTTCTTTTCCAGGCTCAAGAAGACTTGATTGAATGGGCCTCTTTCTCACTTTAATAAGAAATCATTACTCTATCATAAAACCGAGCTGAAAAACTACAAATACTAACACTATATTATCCATCTCTGTTCTTCATAATTTTGCAATTAAATTATACTTCAAATAATTATATTTCTTGATTTTACTTTGTAGATATTCTTTTTAAAATTTTTTTTATTATTTATTATGTATACTGTGTTCTGTCTACATGCATGCCTGCACACCAGAAGAGGGCATCAGATCTCATTCTAGATGGTTCTGAGGCACCATGTGGTTGCTGGGAATTGAACTCAGGACGTCTGTCAGAGTAGCCAGTGCTCTTAACCTCTGAGCCATCTCTTCAACCCCCTTTGTAGATATGCTTTCCCATGTTCCTCCAATTCCAATGTGGCTGGAGTTTACTTCCTAAAACATTCTAAGATTTGTGTCTTTGAGCTAAACTTAGCTAATGACATTACCTCTTTATCTTTTAGTCCCAGGAGCAATACTTCTTCCATAAGAGTGAGGCGGATATCCTTAGAGTCGCCAGGGTCTTCATTATCTGGGCTCCTTTCTTGATTAGTGTCTTCCTCACTTTCTACTTTCTTTTCAGAGCTCTTACTGACTTCAGTTCGACGGGTCCGGTGAGTTAATGTGGTCATTCTCACCTTGTTTATGGAGAGATGTGAAAAATATGTGTGTGTTTTAGTAAATAAATATAAGTCCACAGAAGACCTACACACACACACACACACACACACACACACATACACACACACGCACACACACACACAACACACACACACACACAACACACGCACACACACACACATGCAGACACTATACATCTGGGAAAATACAGAAGTGCAAACACAGAACGAGGTAGTAAATAGAAACACTGGATAATATGCTCTCTTTTTCAAAGCATAACAGCTTAAATTCCAAAAAGCAATGAAAATGATCACCAGTAATTTAAAAGCCCATCAGAAATGGCCATCTTTTCAGGGAGATTAGTTCACTTATAACCCAAGACGGAATTTTTACCACTATTACTCCTCTTTCCTAAAATGGGTCCCCAAGTTAAACATGATGGAATAGCAAAACCTCATGAGCATGTGGCCCTGAATACATATCATTTATAATTTCTATAAACAGTTAATGGCACACTGTGAAACATATACAAAAATATAGATAACAAAACCCCACATTTTAATATTTTAAAATTATTTTGTGCACAACATTTGTGGGTAGGGTGCCATTTTCACATGTGGAAGTCAGAGGACAACTTTTTGGAGCCCTCGCTCCTACTTTTACACAGGTTCTGCAGATGAACTCAGGTTTCTCGGCTTGTGCAGCAATTGCCTTTACCCACTTAGTCATCTCTCCATGCCTATGTTTTAATATTTTCTTTTTAAGATTTATTTTGTTTATTTTAAGTTTTTTGCCTGCATGTATGTCTGTGTACTGCATGTATGCCTGGTGCCTGAGGAAGTGGTGCTGGGAATCAAATTCGGGTCCTTTCTAAGAACATGTGCTCTTAACCACTAAGTCCATCTCCAGCCATATTTGCTTTCTTCTATCATAACAACTCATTTCATGAATTCATTTTGGAAATCACTAGAGTATATAACACTTAAGTGAATATCAAGTATAGTAATTTAACATCCTTTTTCTATCTGGCTATCTTGTGAATACACAAATAGCTACAACAACCAAAAAAAAAAAAAAAACAAAAAAACCTCAGCAAGACTGTTAAAAGATTATCGAATTCTCAAAAGAAAATGGGACTGGAATGTGACTCAGTGTTATTGCATGTGTTAGAATAGAATGTACAAGGTCCTAAGTGCCATTCCCAGCAATAGGGAAAAAAAAAATCAGAGCATACACTTTTTTTTAATTCAGTATTACATTTCAAATCACCTGCAATAAAGCTTGAAGTCAGCATATTTTATACAAATGGAAACGTTAATATTTATCATTAAAAATAAGTACTTAATATCAGCAATTATACATTCTTGAGATCAAAAGAATAGTATTTAATAGGTGCTATGGCTGTGCCTAGTTCTACTCTATAACATTTTTATCAGGGTGTCTTATTTTTTTCTGCCTCTGATCCTTGTTATTCTGGGGTTCTCTCCCTTTTCCTTTCCTCCCTAAATGTTGCCCAGCCTTTGAAAGCCTACAAAGACTCACTGAGAGGCCTTAAGGTGAATATCTCTCCATTATGCATAGGGCCCAAGCTTAGAACTGATTTCTCTCTCAGCTGTACCCCAACAGAAATTTATTTATACTTACTCCCTTTAAATATTTATTATAGTCTCTCTTTTGTTATGGCTTATGTTAACTTAAACTTCTTGAGGGCTGGGATAGTGTTATCTTGACAATATCTCCATTATATTCTCCATAGCAACTAGTACAATATCTTTAACGTTGTAACTGCTCAATAAATATATACTCATTAAAATGGATACTCAGGGCTGTGATAATTAAAAATAGAGATATGCACCAAGTATCTTACAAATAATTCATAAAAGGGTCCATTTCAAATATAATTTTCGGTGGAAAGAAAAGTGAAGAAGGAACAGAACACGGAATAATGCCTTAGGGTACTAATTCTATTTGGCATTGAATCGGGGTTATTTACAAACCCAACCCAAGAAACTTCACATCCTCGTGAGAATGGTGACAATTTTCTTTGAGGAATTTATCATCTCCCCGTGGACACTTATTAGTTAAAATTACCCTATTTGAAGACATGGCGACCAACACATAACTAAAAACCACCCTTTCTCTCTAAAGTAAAATACCGAGCAGCTTGTTGGACGTTAAGAAGTGTTATTTTCTATTCCTTACCTGACGTTGCTCCGGGGCTGCAGTGGGACGTAGGCTGCAGTTTGCACTCTATTTTTGGAGGGCACCTGTTTCCCTCCTTACCCCAGTCCGGTACTAGTAGGTGAAAAACTTCTCAGCCCCGCAGAGAGCACAAACTTCCTGATCCTTCGATGCAGAGAAGGAATAACACATCAGCTTCCTCAGGATCACTAGGCAACCTACCTTGGTGCTTCTTCATTGGACCAATCAGAACCCCCCAAGGTTGAGTCTAGCCAATTGGAGCCTACGAGGGGAGGACCTCCCGGCTATTGTGCTGCGATCCAGACAAACATCACCAAAAGGAGGCAGGTTTGGGTTCAACCTGACAGCTGGTCAATCCAATGAAGGAACCTCGGTGGAGGCCAGGAAAAGGCTGCTCCCAACCCCAATGAAATTACCCAATCAAAGTATCCCGTGAGACAACAAATGCTGCCAATCACGAAAGGATTCCATTGGCCCATTTCAGTGTAGCAGGTGTGTTTTTGTGGCTTTCTGTAGTATTGGCACGACTGGGTAAGAAATGTTGGCATCCAAACAATAAGGCTAAGAGTAAATCCCTCCCTCCGCCCCGCCCCCGCGCCTCGATATCTTAACCCAGACTCTAGAAAAACCTGATCTGACCAGTTTGTGGACGTTATACCCTGTTTACACTAAACAGGATGGGTACATTCCCACCGTCAACACATAATAATAGCCCTATGGGGCACTTTGATAATCATGTGTCTACTTACTGTATGTTTTGGAATATGGCTGCTGAGACTACAAGACACAAACAAATCAAATTTTAAGTCTTCCTTTTCTGAAGCAAAAGAAATAAATGGCAAGGCTGGAACTAGGTCCCATCAAAGCAATCGCTCAGGCTACCGCTCAAAGTTCTAAGTGTGTTTCAAGATAATACTTAAATTCTCTCAAAATTAAGAGCTAAACACGCTCTGCTAATTAAATAAAAATTAGAAGCTATGAAAGAGCCTGCACATTGAGTATCTTAATCATGCTAGTGAAATGTCTTTTATTAGCCATTGCTTTCAGTCATCTTTTGTCCTAAAGACATGCTTAAAAGGTGAATGTCATATATCATGTTAATAACACACTATATCCCAAGGCCAGCTGGCCTGGGTCTGAAAAAGCCTGGAATAAAACCGGACTCGCTGAACATAGCGGACAATGAGGACTACTGAGAACTCAAGAACTATGGCACTGGGGTTTTTGATCCTATTGCACGTACTGGCTTTGGGGGAGCCTAGGCAGTTTGGATGTTCACCTTACTAGACCTGGAAGGAGGTGGGTGGTCCTTGGACTTCCCACAGGGCAGGGAACCCTGATTGCTCTTCGGGCTGAGGAGGGAGGGAGACTTGATGGGGGAGGGGGTGGCGGGGAGGAGGCAGAAATCTTTAATAAATAAATAAATAAATACATGAAACAGAAAAAAATAACACACTATATCAAAATATCAAACATTATTTTAATAACACCAATTAAATGATACAATTTCAACATAAGTAAAAAGTTAATCCTTACAAAATTATAATGCCAGAATAAACATTTCAGAAATGGTTTTTAGAGAGCCTTAAAAGTATACATAGTTTTAAAAAGCTTTCTTTAAAAATGGAAGGCAGATTGTATTCAGCAGATAATGAGCAGAATCAGTGGTGACATTTGTACTTAGGTTTAGTCAAAAGTTCCCTTGGATTTAGCTCAGGTAAACACGATAGTGCAATAACTGTGAACCACAAAATAATTTTCAGAGATACAGAAAGTACATCTTCAAATGATAATACAGCATGTTTTGTTTAAATGTTGAGCCTGCAAGTCTGCATAAGAAAAATAAGTTTTAGGTGTGTTCCTTTGGTTCACTAACTCTCTTTCTTTTTGTCACTGACTCTTGACTAGAAGATTCCAAGAGATGAAGGACCTGTCAAAAGAAAACAACTATTTAGAGACTTTCCAGTTTAAATCTCTCTCTGTTTGTATTCATTCATTCATTCATTCATTTATTTTTGGAGCAGTGTTTCAAGTGAAGCCTTGCTGTCCTGGAACTCGTTCTGTAAACCAGACTGGCCTCGAACTCAGATCTGCCTGCCTCAGCTTCCCAATGGCTGGGATTACAGGAGTGTGCCACCACCACACTATTCTTTCTTGTTTTTGAGACAGAATATCACATGACCCAGGATTGCTTCCTATACACTATGTAGCAGAGGTTTGTTTGAACTTCTCATCTCCCATCATATACTCATGTTGAGATCACAGGGATGTGCTCCTACATATGGTTTGATGTGGTGGTCTAACACAGGGTTCCATGCATGCTAAGCAAGCACTCTACTAACTGAGCCTCATTTCCAACCCAGCATAGGTATTTTTCTTCCTTCCTTCCTTCCTTCCTTCCTTCCTTCCTTCTTTCCTTCCTTCCTTTTTGATTGTTTTTTGAGACAGGGTTTCTCTGTAGCTTTGGGGCCCATCGTGGAGCTCGCTCTGTAGACCAGGCTGGCCTCAAACTCACAGAGATCCTCCTGCTTGTGCCTCTCAAGTGCTGGGATCAAAGACATGCACCACCACCGCCCAGCGGTATTTTCTACTAAGATAGGATACCCAGGATATTTTTAAAAGTAGAGTACAATTTATTATTGACATATAACTTACCTATGAATAACTGCTAAAAGTATATACTTATAAAAGGTAAGATATTAATTTGAGTTGTTGTAGATAGAGTTAGAAGGAAAAAATAATTGTTACATTGTATCTTTGAAATAGTAAAAAAAAGTTGGAGAAATGAAAAGGGAATAAAGATTTTAATCACAATAGGAGAACATTTTACTTTGGGACCATGTAAAATTTAAATCATATTTTAAAGCAGACTCATGCCTTAAAATTTTTTTTAAGGTAGCTCATGCCTATATTACAGCAATTGGTAGGCAGAGGCAGAAAGATCACAAGTACAAGACCAGACTCATCTACAAGGTCTCACTTAACCCACCCCCATCATGTCTTGATAAAAATTAGACATTCAGTGCACCAGTTTTTTTGTCTTCTTTTTCTTTTGCAGTGCTGAAGATGAAAACCTAAGCCTAACCCTAAATGAAAGGTAAGTACTCTCAGCTTCAGATCGTAAGTTTGAAAAAAATGGAAGAATGAATTAGAGAACTTCTAACAAAATTTCTTTTTTTGGACTTTAGTTTTCTGAAAAGTTAAAGTATAATGACAAATTGGATTGTGGTTTCTAAGAAAGTATCAAGTATCAAGGCTTAAAACATTGAAAAAAATTAAGGCTGGAGCTATGGCTCAGTGGTTAAAAGTGAACTGTTTTTTCAGGACCTAAATTTCAGTTCCAGCACCTATGTCAGGTAGCACACAACCCCCTGTAATTCCAGGTCCAGGACATCGGGTTTCTTTGGCACTGGCATTTACATACATTTATCCATGCAGAGGCACAAACACATAAACATCTTTTTTTTTTTTTAATTGAGACAGGTTCTCTCTACATAGCCCTGACTATCCTGAAATTCACTACATTGACCATGCTGACTTTGAACTCACATTGATCCTGAGAGCTGGAACTAAAGGAGTGCGTTAGCGCTGGCCACCTGTCATTTTTTTCTTTTTCTTCTTTTTTTTTTTCTTGAAACAGGGTCTACTCTATAGCCCTCACTGGCATTGAACTTGCTGTATAGACGAGGCAGGCCTGAGACTCACTATATAAACTGGCTTGGCCTCCAACTCAAGAGTTCTTTTGTCTCCTGCGTGATGGGATTAAAGGCATGAACCACTATACCTGGCCAAACACACATGCATACATATATAATACATACATATGTTTTACAAAAAAATATGGGAGGATAGAGAGATGTTCAGTGGTTAAGAAATTTCAGTTTCCACCACCTACATGGCTCATAATCATTCATAACTTCTGTTCCAGGGAATTCAATACTCTCTTCTGACTTCCAGAAGCATTAGTCATATGTATACATGGAGGCAACACACACACACACACACACACACACACACACACACACACATTGTTTTTTGAGACAGGATTTCTCTCTTTAACAGCTCTGGCTGTCCTGGAACTCCTTTGTAGATCAGGAGACACGGCTTGTCTTGAACTCACTGAGATCTGCCTGCCTATCTCTCCCTTAAAGGTGTGCACCACCACCTCCCCATATAAATCTTAAAAAATGGAGAAATGAAAGAAACCTAATGTCTTAGTGGAATGTCAAGTTATTTCATTCTTTTTACTGAGTAGCCCAGGGAATGCAACATGGCCCCAAACTCATGGTCATTCTGATTTGTCTTTTCAACTGCTGAGAGAAATTCAGGAGTATGTCACTTCATCCTGCTCCATTCCCTTCTGAAATGATGTAAATTATAAATACTAACTGGCAGGGTGTACTTGACACAAACTAGAGTCATCAGAGAGGAAGGAACCTCAGTTGATGCCTCCATGAGATCCAGCTGTAAAACATTTTCTCAATTAGCGATCAATGGGGAGGGCCCAGCACACTGTGGGTGGTGCCATCCCTGGGCTGGTAGTCTTGAACACTGTAAGAAAGAATGCTAGGGCTGGAGAGATGGCTCAGCAGTTAAGAACATTGCCTGCTCTTCCAAAGGTCCTGAGTTCAATTCCCAGCAACCACATGGTGGCTCACAACCATCTGTAATGAGGTCTGGTACCCTCTTCTGGCCTTCAGGCATACATGAAGGCAGAATATTGAATACATAATAAATAAATAAATTAAAAAAAAAGCAGGCTAAACAAGCCATAGGCAGCAAGCCAGTAAAACACTCCTCTATGGCCTCTGCATCAGATCCTGCCCTGTTTGACATCCTGTACTGACTTCCTTTTGTGGTGGAAGTGTAAGACAAATAAACCTTTTCCTCCCCAACTTGCTTTTTGGTCATGGTGTTTCACTGCAGCACTAGAAACCCTAATTAAGACACAGAGGATGTGGAGAAATGGCTCAGTGGTTAAGAGCACAGGCTGCACTTCTAGGGGACCCTGATTTGATTTCTAGCACCAACATGGTTGCTCACAACTGACTGTAACTCCAGTTCCAGGAGATCTGATGTCCTCTTCAGGCCTCTATAGGTACTTCATGTATGTGGTGTATAGCTGCATACACAGATGAAACATCCATACACATATAATTTTAAAAAAACTATCTGTGGATG